GGCAAAGACTCTGGTTGAGGGATGTAGCCATCCATTCATCTTAAAATTTTTAATTCAGAATAGTACCTGTTTGATGAAAATTCATGGACAAATTATGGAACAGAAACTGAAGGAAAGGTGACCCAGAGACTCCCCCACCTAGGGATCCATCTCATCTGTAGACAATAAACCTAGACCCTTTTGCTGATGCTAAGAATCACTTGCTGACAGGAGCCTGGTATAGCTGTCCTCTGAGAGACTTTGCCAGAGCATGACCAATGCAGATGAAAATGCAGATGCTTGCTGCCAACCATCAGAGTGAGCATGGGGACCCCAATGGAGGAGTTAGGGGAACGGACTAAAAGAGCTGAAGGGAATTGCAATCCCATAGGAAGAATAACAATATCACCCAGAGCTCCCAGTGACTAAACTACCAACCAAAGAGTACACATGGAAGGACCAATGGCTCCAGCTTTATACATAGCAGAAGATTGCCTTCTCTGGCATCAATGGTAGGGGAGGACCTTGGTCCTATATAGGCTTCATGCCCCCTCATGGGGGGATGCTAGGGCAGTGAGACAAGAGTGCGTGGGTTGGGAATCACTCACATAGACGTAGGTAGAGGGACAAAGGATGGGGGTTGCCAAGGAAAGACCAGGAAGGGGGACAATGTTTGGAATGGAAATAAATAAAAATAATCAATAAAAAAGAATCTTAGTTGGCACTTGCACATAATTCATAAGTTTAGGTTTTTCATAAACTCTCAGAATCTGTGTCTTGGATTTCATCTGAGTTTTTCTCTTTAGGAGACATAACTATAGAATTGGGCATGCTGTCTGGATTTTTCACATTGTGTTTTTCTGTTAGAAACTGGATATTTTAATTTATACTGCTTGCTGCTGCTGCTGGTAGTGGTGGTGGTGGTTCTGGTGGTGGTAGTGGTGTGTGATTTTCTCCAATAAGCTTGAATCCTGAGGTAGCCAGGATTCACTTACACTGAGTGTCTTGGGGTGTCTCAAAGGATGAAGCCCTGGCTGGGAATCTGGGTCTAGGGCAGAGTGTCCTACCACATCCAAGTCAGGTCTAGGCCCACAGCAATCCTGTGGAATGGCTGGGTCTGAGGTCAGAGGAGTGTTGTGAGATGGTATCACATTTAGGGTATGCTGGAGTCATGATAGTGTAGGAAAACACACCTGAGTTGAAGAACAATGTGGTAGGAAACTGGATGTGAGGTGGGCTCAGATTTCTGGGAGAAGATCACTGGTCCCAAGGTAGCATTGCAGTGGTAAGCCATGATAGGTCAGGAACTTGATTGGTTGGGTGATCTCACCAGAGCTGGAGCAGCCATGTTGAACATATCTTGATTAATCCCATTCCTACCATTGATTAAGGGTTAAGGGTGGCCTTCTGTGCCTGAGATGAGGTAGGTAACTTCCAAGGAGCTATTGGCTGTAAATGGTTTCTGGAGGAGACAAAATAAAATGATGCTTCCCATGCTCTACTGCAGTGGTTCTCAACATAAGGGTCTCCATCCCTTTGTGGGTAGAATGACCCTTTCACAGGGTCACATATCAGATATTCTGCATACCAGATACTTTCATTATGATTTATAGCTGTAGCAAAATTGGTTGTGAAGTACCTATACAAGTAATTTTGTGGTTGGGGATCACCACAACATGAGGAAGTGTTATAAAGCAGTACAGTATTAGGAAGGCTTCAACCCCTCCTCTAGTGGAAGGACCCACACCCATGTACAAATGGGAAGGACTAATTATACTTGTGGGTTTTAAGAAGAAATCAACTCTAGCTTTAAGTATCTCCATCAAGTAAGTAGCTATTAGGGTGATGTGTCTGCCCATGTTGTGACTCAGCCCTTATCTCTTGAAGCTTTCAGCACCTTTAGCCCTTTTAGTTTTAGCATTTTGATGATAATAAATCATCAAAATTTCACTTCTTTGACATTCCTTGAACCTGTGTACTTGGATGAGTAGCTCTTTCTTTGTGTTTGGGGATTTTTCTTCTATGAGTTTAATGAGAGTGTTACCCATGACTTTGGCCAGGAGTTCTTCTCTGTCTTCTATGTCATAAACTTGGGAAGGGCTTTGTCAAGGAGTACATGGTGGGAGTTAGATGGGGAGATGGGGAATATATATGATCATATTGTATACAATACAAATTCTCAATGAAATTCACAAAGGTAATGGAAAATTAAAAATAAACAACAAAAGATAAAACCAATTGAAAATGTCCTATAACAGAACCAAACAGAAAGCTCAGAAGAGAATAAACAGAAAGAGCTAGAAATAAAGAATTTAAAAGTTTTCAGCATCTGTAGCCAGAAGAAAAACCCAGACTAAAACCACTTTAAGATTCATTTACTATAGCACAATGGCCATCATCAAGAATGGCAACAACAAATGCTAGCATGGATGGATAGAAAGGGGAACACTTTACATTGTTTTTTGGAAGGTAAACTGGGTGAAGCTGAATTGGAAATCATTCTGGAGATTTCTCAAAATAACACCACTACCACCACTAGCACCACCATCAACATCCTGCCAAAATAAAACTACCACAGTTCCGGCTAAGTCACTCCTGAGCACTTATCCAAAAGACTCCATAATCTCTGATATGGATATCTCCACATTCAAGTTCATTGTTGCCATATTCACAGTAACTAAGAAATGGAAGCAGCCTAGCTGCCCATCAATTGATGAAGAGATAGTAAAGATGTGCTACTTATATAAAATAGGAAAATTTCAGGAAAATAAATGGAATGGAAATTCTATTTTTTCTGAGTGAGGTAATTCAGGACTTCAAGCACAAAACCTGCATGTTCTCTCTCATATTAGGATCCTAGCTATGTGAATGTACGGTTTTGTGTGTCTAACATGGAGTAACTATGGAAGCTAGGAAAGAACAAAAGACAGCAGAAATTACCTCCAAGGAGGAGGAATAGTAAAGCATATGCAGTAAAGTAAGTTTATACCAAAGTAGAAAGGTTTAGGCAGTAAGAAGGCAGGGGGCTGAAAGCTGAGTGTGTAGGTTAGAGGGAAGAATTAACCAATATAAAAAAGTATAAAGGAACCATGTGAAAAACCAGATGTGCCCACATGTGAAATATCAGCTTCTCTATTTTGATGGTAACCAACTGCCTTGTAATCAGATTCAAGACCAACAACTTGGGGATGGAGAGGCCAATGTCTGGTACTCTTTCCTGGCTAACAACATACAGGGAAGTAAACTTAGGCAGTAGCAAACTGCCTTCTAAAGACCCACGCTTTTCCCCATAGACAAAAGTAGATCCCAGCGTTACTCAGAGATGATTCCCCTTCTGATGAACAGTGGGGTGAATGCAGAGAAGCCCAAGGGCCCAGGATGCACAAGTAAGTGGTGGTTGTGGGTCCTCTAAACAAGTCACTTAGTCCACCCCTCCTAAGGCTCAGGGAATCTACGTTGAGAGCATGAGAAGTATTTAACTGCTGGAAGACAGGGGAAAGGGATGCAAACTCCATTCTCTAGACTGGATACAGTTATGACAATCATCAGTTCACACCAACTGTAGTTTCAGCACTGGACCCATGTAAGACTAGTCAAATCAACAACTACTCAAGGAAGGGGGAAGGGAGTGCAGGATGCCACTTTTGATCTCTTGAAATATTGGCTATTGATAGTTTCTGGAATCGGAAGAGGAAATCACTGTTTTTAGTTGAGTATCCACGGCTGAGCCAACCAGGCTCCAATTTACACAGATGGTCATTGTTAATCTTCGTGGGTTACAAAATTAAACACATGGACATGAACATGAGAGAGATATTTGTGAGGAGATCCTAGGGTGTCCAAGGATGTTAGGGAGATGAGAGTGGTTAAGAATGTTTAATTTGTATGGAGTACATGTGAAAAATTGTTTTTTAAAAAAATGTATCAGGCTGCCTTCATGATTATGTGCACAAGGTGAATAAAACAATAATTATTCAGTGGGTTGCTCATGACTCTAAGCTTACACCAGGTCTCTGAGCCAAGATATATTATATGAGAGGTGCTGACCTGGCCCTGCTGCAGAGGAAGTGAGTCTACTTACTGGTCTGGGCATTCAATATTTTAGTCTCTTTCTAAAGTTTCTGATCTGCATTCGGGGGCTGTCCTGTGTCATCTCCTGAGTCCCTTTGGACAAAGTGAACAGAGGTCAGTATAGTTCTAAGATTAGATGACAGCTTCATAGAGAGGCCTTGCTGAAGCTGGACCAGGGGACCTGGGGGGAGTCTCAGAGAACAGTGAACTTCCCAGTGTAGGACCCCCAAAGGCTGCCATGCCCTAGCTGAGACTTTACATGTGCTGCTGTCTGCCAATTAACATTCTGCAGGTTTTTCTAAGAACAAAACCTCCTGTTGAAGGTGTAATGTCCTGGGCAGGGACTTTCCACTATACAAACCATTGGCCCCAGTTGAGTTCCTGTTTGTGTTTTTCTTTCCCCAGTTTGGTGTATATACTGAACCTGCTCAGAAGAAGATTCAGCATTCTCTCATAGTGAATGACCTGATTCTGTGTTTTCCTTTAATCTCCCAGGCCTAAGCTTTAGCTCAGTACCATGGCAGTGCTGGCACTGTCACCCAGGACAAGAGGCATTCCTTAGAGGAACAGGGAGAGTGAGAGGTATAGACTAATGATCTTTCTGAACCTTGGTAGCCTGATAAGTGTAAACAAGAATTGAAAGAAGAAAGAAAGAAAGAAAGAAAGAAAGAAAGAAAGAAAGAAAGGAAGGAAGGAAGGAAGGAAGGAAGGGGGCATCCTTCTCAGGCAAAAGACAGGACTTTCCAGGACTGAGAGTACTGGCCTTTGTGTATGCTGTTATGATGGAATCAGTGCACAGGCTTGATTCTCAAGCTTCATGAAGTGATCTGAAAAAAGAAACAATTAAATGAAGAGAGTAAAGAGAGAGCAAATAAAGAGAGAGTAAAGAAGGTCATGTATGAAAATGTTTTAAGCTCTGCACTCATGGAAGAGAGCAATACTACTCCTTTCCTGCAGACAGATTTCTTTATTAAGACTCAGATAGCCATACCCCAGGATGCTGCACACTGGCCCAGACACAGGTTTTGTGTTCTAGAGTTGTTGCAGGAGTTTCACTGTTCTCTGAATCCAAGGTATAAAGCTGGAGACTCTGGTGAATACCCGAGGAGGTGCATATGCACTTAACCGATAACTGACAATGCCCTGGGCCACTCCATCACACACAAAAGGTCCCCCAGAGTCTCCCTGTAGACAGAAAAAGGAGAAGTCTTAGTACATAGTCTCTTATCACCTCTTTCCAGACCCATTTTCTCCCTGCTCTTCTCTGTTCCCACTTAGACCTGAGTTTTCAGATGGGAAACATACTTGAGCCCATTGACCTCAATTCTGAATGGGACCAAGTAGACAGAGTCTGTGAATCACTAACTAGTGTGTCTCTGTCTGGCTGTGTCCTTCTTTCAGGTTAACTAGACTTAGCTCTCCTATTTTCCCATGGTGAAAGGACAAACGATTGGCTGAGGGAAAATGCCAGATCCCCATATGTTGTTCTCTCCATATCCTGTGGACTACTCGTGGTTGTAGAGCCTGGCTGTATACCTGCAGTATAACTCTGGCCCTGGGCAAACATTTGAAGATGGTTATGTCCTTACGTAGGAAGTAGCCTTCCTCTCATTGGGATTTCCCACACAGAGCTGGATGAAGTTGTTGTAGTTTCTGGACCTGGCATAGCACTTTTGGCCGTTTTGAACTTCTAGATTCACTTCTTGAAGTGTTTCAGGTGAAGTACAATTGGGCAAGATTCCCCAACCTGCCACTGTGCACACCTGCCCAGGCTTCACCCAATCATGGCTTTTTGGAAGACCAATAGTCTTCACAGCACTATTGAGTTGAGCTTTGCTTTCCAGCTGGTGAGAAAGACGAAGAATAAGAGTTCAAGTCTGGCTCTCTCAGCAAGCTTAAACCAGGGATGAAGCTGCCTGTATCCTCCCTATTTTCAAAGTCCCCCACACCACTCCCACTCCAGGTACATTCTATTGCTCTAGGACCAATAGATCAACCACCAAGTAGAGAAAACAGGACTGATCCACTACTGATCTATGGGAGTAAACCAGATAACAGTAAAATGGTACCTTCAGGAGCATGATGTCATTAACCAGTGTTTTACTATTAAAGTACAAATGAGGTATGGCTTTATAAACACGAATGACCTGGGTGTTTTCCAGTTCCTGGATATTGTGAGCACCTAAGGTTACAATCATATGGCTGTGAAAAGAAGATGGGTTAAGTATAACACAGGAGCAGTGAAGTGGTCCCTGAAAGGCAGGTTGAGGGATCAGGCTAAGGCTGAGTCAAATAGCAAGACATTGATGGGGGCATTGCTCCTTTGGTCTTCAATAACCGTCTATCCATTCAGATCCTTCACTGACACTATCGGTCTTGAGTTTCACAATCACTTTAGGTCAACTAGGATAAAGTCAGGTTGATCTTCACCTTTGGTTCTACATGTTTAGGGACAGCCAGGGTCTGTTGTTATTTGGTCAGTCCCAGGCATCAAAGACCCAGTTGTTTCTCCTTACCTTCCAAAACAGTGAGCTGCTGTCATTACAATGTCTTCTCTGACCAGGAAACCACCACAGTGACTGAGACCTATTTTGGTATCATAAAACTTTATGTATGCCATGTAGGGCCGGGAGTGGGGTTTGGTCTCTGTACCCCATATGATTTCTCCTGAAAAAGAAAGCATATTCTGAATCTTGGTGCTCATGGAAACTGTGCAACAATCCTGGAGGCTGGAATAAGGGACATTTCATGCTTGGAGAGTCTGTGGACCTGACGCAGATGGAGAAAAGATCCTTTTGTAGGGGCTGTGACACAACAAGAAAAGGTGCCTGGATGCTTCGAGGCATCACACAGAGCCTGCCACATGACGTCACTTTCCCCTAGTTTCCAGTTTCTTCTTGTCATCGTGATGGTGCTAAGACTTTGCCTTGAATCAAATTAAATCTCATGTACACATTAAGGAGGAACTCAGCACACATTATCCAGCAGATCAACACACTCCAAACAACTAGATTTGTTCCTGTGTCTCATGATTCACCTGGTGTCCTGCTCACTTAAGCACTGGACTCTGTCCCAAGTAAGCATGATGCATTATTGAGGTAGAAAGCTCTGGCTGCTTTTCCTCTATTCTGATTCATGAGACACAGTAAGTACTTCCCTTAGTGATGGGAATGCTGCATAAACACTGAAAAGCTCTCAGATGTGCTAAGCAAGTAGCTGGGAGGAGGTTTCCTAATGTAGTCTGCACCTCAGCATAGATTTGTCTTCCTAAGTCATTGGAATAGCCTTCAGGATGAAGAAGAGAGGGCACAGGACTAGTAAGATCATAGAGAAGAGGGGAAATGTGTTGTAGGATCCTGTGTCTGCCTGTTTCCATCAAGCTGTGGAGCAGGGATGGAACCACACTTTGCTGGCTCTGCTAGATTTGGGGTGTTATAGTAGATCTACATGGTTCAAAACAACAGAGATGAGACCAAGGTGACTTCTGGAAACCTGAATAGAAGAATTCTTCTAGTCTTGATCCAGGTGGCAACCCCTGGATAAAGCTGGTTGCTCTTTGATTTGTGCAATTGAAACTTCCAGCCCTCATTTTCAACTGCAGCTTTCCAGTAGGGTCCTATGATGTTTTATAATCCATCACTTTTAGATGATTGAGGTCTCACTCACCAGGTGCCACTGCAAGTAGTTCACTGACATTTTGGTGCCCTATTTATCTTGTGCTAGAGCAGGGGCTCAACTAACTTCTTAGATGAACCAAGTCAAGAAAAGACCTCAGGTACAGCCTGACTGGGCACCATGCAAGCAAGTGTCAGTGCTGGAAGCCACATGCCACACCTCTAGGAATCTGGATGGTTGCTTACCTCCTTCAGTGTTGACTGGTAGGACAGCCACCAGGAAGACCAGGAGCAGGAACATCCTCTTCAGGTTCTGACCAGGTCTCAATTGGTCACTTTGTCACTTCTCACAACTTTTAAACCATCAGGTGAGGAAAGAAGTCCAGAGCCAGAGATCTCTAATTTCCTGTGTGATAATTAAGATCCGAGTTCTTGTCACATCTGTGTGGTGAATGTACAGGAAACACACTATCATCAGTTGCTGGTGATCATGACCACGTTCCCCACAGGAATGATGGAATCTGAGAAAGGTAGAAGTGCCTACTGAGGCCTTCCACACTAGGCAGAGGACAAGTCAATGCTTCAGGTCTCTTTTAAATAATAATATCTCTACATATCATAGTACTCTCTTTGAAGAGTTTTGTTGTTGTTTGTTTTGTTTTGTTTTTGGTTTGGTTTGGTTTAGTTTGATTTTTTTCCACAGGACATTTGGTTTCAGATTTAGGCCGGGTCATATATTAACATCCTAAGAGCTTTGAACACTTTGGGGTATGGGATAAGAGTAAAGACTTAGGTTGAAATGCCATTGGGATGCTGATGACAGTGTCAGGAGGTAAGAAAATGACTGAATGGGAGCTGTACAGGAAGGATTTGACAGACACATGCTCAGAGTCCCACACTATAAAGACACTGATGTCCTTGTCATCTTGACATCTCAAAGGTTTCAGATATTTTATCGTGAAAGTAGTTAGTGGCACAAAAGTAGACACAAACAGCAAAAAGAAAGCTCTACTGTTGGCGCTGAGTCTCCGCATTTGCTATTTTCAACACTGTCAAGGCAATCTGGTCCCTAGGGAAGACTGTATGCAATGCAGGCAAAGCCCTTTACTGCTCACTTCTCTGTCTCTGCTGAGCAATCAGCTGTGATTCATCTTAACCTGGTTGATGTCAGCTTTTGAATGTAGAACTCAAGTGCATTTCTTCCTAGAATACCAGAGTCAACCGAGACTACTGTTCCTGGCAATCTTGTCATTTCATATAGACATAAGGATACTTCTGATGTAAGCTGCATATTGTCTTCATACTGACTTTGCATCTGTCCCACCAAAGCTGGAATATTCAAACACATTCTCATTTGCATTGCCCTCTCAGGGGATTCTACAAGGATTATTGTTATTATCTTATTACTCCGTTAATTTACTTGCATCCTCATCCTGTCAATTTGAAAATGATGAACACATTCAGTAATGGTGGAGTAACTATTAAATATCTGTGTGATACCATATATCTGCTAAAACAAAATCCATAAGGCTATACACCAAGAAAATAAAGATACTACATTATAATGTTACTCCCATAGCCTGATTAGCCTGTGAATGCATCCGATCCTGTGCTGTCACAATTTCCACTGCTGATTTCTTGTATCTTGATAAAGGTATCACATTTCCCTTGTAGTTAAACGTCTTTTGAGTCACTGGGACAGGCACTTGAACTAGCCTGCTGCCTCACACATGGCTCACAGCCCCATATCTCAGGACTTCTGGGAACCAGTTCAAACTGTCAGGCAAAAACAGTGTGAGCACCTCTCCTGCTCCCAAAATTTATGGCTGTTCTGACCAAGGATTGGGGAGTCTGTGGATGTGCTTAGACACCATGTGGAGAAGGAAGTTTGTTTGTTCATGTAAAGATTTTACTGCTAAATGTGTAACTGCCTTAAGACTTTGTGAGTAGAAAGAAGGAATACAAATAGGGATGACCTTTTAATTGGATAGTGTGTGTAGATCTACAGTAAGGTCTGGAAGGTAATGACAGAAGGGCCAGGAAAGATGTATGAAAGCAATGAGCAGAAAATTCTCATGTTTGATGGAAAAAAAATCACCAAGGTCCTCCCGTGGAGCCCAAGGCCTTTATGTAGGATAAACTCAGACAAGGGTCTAGGACATGCAAGCTCACTCTCCTTGTGTCTTAGCTCGATTTCTCTTTTCCTACCCAGACCTGTCTTGAGATAGTACCTCTGGGGTCCCTGTCACCCACGACTTCTGTTTCTATGCTAAGGTCACAGATGAGCATGGAGCTTCTGCTAGGCTTCTGATAGCTACACTTGGAACCTCTCTTCCTGAGCTTGGGAAGCTGAAAGTCCAAGGGGAAAAGGAGCCCTTGGCAGTACTTTACCTGAACAGGGGATGGGGCTGCCCACTGTATCTAGACAACATCTTAATCCATTTAAGATCTGATCTTTTTGCATTCTCAGAATCTGTTTAAAATTTTAAAAAAAATCATCACTATTACAAAAATGAGAAAACACAAGTTTGATGATTATAGCTGTTTCTATTAGTAAAGCACAATGGCACAGTCTTCTACAGCTATCAAACAACATTCTTCTTAGACATTTTTCATCTTCGTGTATGGAAACAATAACCCTATATGACACCATTGCTCCTTCTGTCTGACTCTGTGTCTCCATGGATCTGTGGGAGACTTGCACAGACACCAGCATCCAGAGAAGGATGCTACCTCATGCTTCATACGTGGTCACTACTTTATTGACCAACCAGACCTTAGTAGATAGTAGGGAAGCCCTATGAATATTCAGGACTATAGTGGGGCCTAGAAAATGAGGAGAGTGTAAAGACCAGATCAAGAGCTGGGGAGAGGGTAGGGTGATAATCCAAAGCCTGAATTCATCCTTCTGTTCTGAACACCTAGGATGAATCTTCCAAGAGGGAGTTGGCTCAAAATGTCCCCTGAGTGGTATAAGGCAGACTACAGGGATTGGGTTGCCACAACTTTGGATGTTTTGGAGGATAAACAAGAGAAACAATGATTTATTGTTGTTTGTTTTATTTTGTTTTGTTTTTGTTTCTTTGTTTTTTTATAAGTGGGAAATGTATGTTCTCAGACTTAACTTAGAAAAGCCTTGCACAGGCCTTTCATCTTGTTTCCAAGGAATCTTTGGTTCTGCTTTCCAAATGCCCCCAGGGTGTTTGAACTCTGCTAAGGCAAGCTCAAGAAAGCTATGCTGCATTTTCCCTGTGCTGCCTTCTGGTGTCTGGTGATGGGCTTTTGAGAATTGCTGAAGCACTCTCCAGGTGGGAGAAAACAATCTAGGATGGGGACCTCAGACTGGATGAGAAACAAGGCAGGCTGAGGCCAAAGTGTCAGGGGTTCTCAATCTCCTAGAAGTCCATTCGCACTGGAAACCTCAGGGAATCAGTAATGAAAGGGGGAGGGGACTGCAATGGGGGAGGTGGGCTCTGGTTTAGCTCTGAGCAAATGTTGTGGAGGGGCCTTCTGTTAGGTGAAATCTCTGCATAATGAAGGCTTCCACCCACTACAGGCCTCTATGACCAGAGATTAAATACCTTTTGTATGAAGGAATGTCTGGGAAGGAAAGATCATTGGCTAAACCCTCAGAGTCCATCTAGATACCTCCTTAGCAGATAGGTTTCAAGTCAGTGAGAGGAGAAGAAATAAGTCAGTTTTATATGAGACATCCTCTCCAGGTACATAGTAAAGCTGAGGAAGCACCATGAAAAATATTTAATTGGAGGAGCATTGGCTAAGAGTGCAGATGCAGCCCAGGGATCAACTGTGTTCCTGTAGTCACTTAACAAGGTGCTGTGTGCTCATTTCCTTTCTGGGCCTCCCATTTCCATGAAGGTGCTTAGTGTCTGTTGGGCCTTACAGTTTTCTTTTGTAAGCCATGCATATTTTCATTAACTAAATGAAACTGAGTCAGCAGGTGGTATCTCACACCTTTAATCCCAGCACTTGAGAGACAGAGGCAGGTGGATCTCTGAGTTCAAAGTCAGTCTGGTCTATAGAATGAGTTCTAGGAAAACCAGAGCTAAAACAGAGAAATCCTGTCTCAATAAACCAAAACCCAAACCCAAACCAAAAACTAACAAAGAAAGAAAGAAGCCCTAGCAAATACTCATGGTTTTTCTCTGACTTAGTGGAATGGGGTAGATAGGTATCTTGATTCAGTTTCCCCCTCCAACCCATATAGGCTGTTGCCCAATTTGAATGCTTGAACGTGATAGAATCTGTGGCAAGTTACTGGTCTAGCAGGACAGTCCTGTAGATACCATGTGACAGGAAGTCCTAGAGAGCTGTTAACTGAGGCCTGGGAATCCAACAGTCTTCTGGAGCTGCTTGATAAGAGAATCCTCAGTTCCATGTGCTCAAACCCTTTTGCAATAAGGATAAACCACCAAACAGTGTCTGTGCTTGAGGGTTAAGTGTCTGTACATATAGTATCTCTAATATTAGGAAAATATTACAGTTTATTTTGGCTTTTTAACCCTGTCAATTGTTCAGCATGGGGCATTGAGTTTTATCCTATGACTGTCTCATCAGAAATGGGTTCAAACATGTGGTCTTGGGTGAGTTGGAGGGGAGGAATGAAAGGACTGCCCTGAAGCTGGGAGAGGAGCTGCCCCGTTGTCCTGACTTCTGCAGTCCTTTCTCCATGTTTATACCCTGCTTGTTCCAGATATTCCTGTAGGCCATATTTCAATTTGTTTTAGGCCTGATATCAGGCCTTTTGCAATGTGTCTCAGCTCTTCCTGAGGAAATTCTTTCATGCCTCAATACCACAATGTGTTGAAGGGGCTACACTTTCAAGCACCACAGTGTTTCAACATATATGTAGAACAGGAAGAGGTAACACATGTTGATAGTTACAATTTAAACTACAAAATTTAAATTACAATAGCAGAGACAGCAGGGTACTGGCAATGGGAGAGACAGACAGGTCAAGGGAACAGGATAAAGATATTTTAATAGCCCCAGAAAAATAAAGTCAATGACTTCTGGGGAACCTAGCCCCCAGTGGATACATTGACACCACAGGTCCTGCATCTGTAGCTCAGAGAACATCACGGAAGAGGGGCTGGAGAGATTGTAAGAGCCTGCAAGTCTGCTGTGAAAGAGTGTCTCCTAGAAATGGCAGCATAAGCAAAACCAGGGCTAACAGGTCAATGGACACGTTAGCATGGAAGGGGGACAATTCTGCTGGGTACAATCCCCAGACAGGAAATACAAGAAACTATTGACTGCTGAGAGGAGAACTAGAACCTCCCAGGGATGAG